GAGAGGAAGAATTGTATAAACTTGTTAAATCATCTAAACCAACAACATGTATGTTAGACCCTATTCCATCTAAGCTAAAAATGGTATCTGTGAGGATTTCCAGTCAGGATTTAGACCGTATCATAGTACTGAGACTGCTCTCATTAGAGTTACAAATGACCTGCTCTTATCATCTGATCATGGTTGTAGATCTCTATTAGTGCTAAGATCCACTTAGTGCTGCGTTCGACACTATTGACCACAACATTCTGTTGTTCGACCCTGCCTGTGTTTTTGACTATGTTTATTAATAAAAGCTTGCACATGGATCCGCACGCCTCTCGTCTCATCTGCCCCGTTACAGGGTGGTTGTTCTGCATGCTTAATAAACAAACTCCAGCTGGTCCAAAATGCAGCAGCTAGAGTTCTTACTAGAACCAGGAAGTATGGAGTTATATTAGCCCGGTTCTGTCAACACAGCTCTGGCTCCCTATTAAACACTGTATAGATTTTAAAATCTTGTTTATTACTTATAAAGCCTTGAATGGTTTAGCACCTCAGTATTTGAACGAGCTCTTATTGCATTATAGTCTTCCATGTCTGCTGCGTTCTCAAAACTCTGGCAATTTGATAATACCTGTTACGTTCCCTGGGAGTTGTTGTTTTTGCTTTTATTTTTCCTTGTTTCTTGTTGTGTTCTTTTCCCCCAACTCCTAGGTTTCCGCTGAGTGGATGACTCGCCGCCAATCATTATTAGGGTGTTCCATACTGCGACGAATCAGCTGACGGCCCGTGGCTTTAAAAGCTTCCGGTGCGCTCTGCCTGGGAGGCGAGGGCAGCGCAGTGAGTGCTGTTGGGGTGTGTAACGAGACTTTTTGGCTGTGCTCTGAGCGGAGAGCCTGTGTGAGCTCCCGGGCATCAGCGTGTGTGTTTTCGATTTGTTTGAGTTGTGCCTCACTCCTGTGTATTTTCTCGTTCTCAAGTTGCTCAGTATGACTTTCATGTCTTACAACTATGTGCCGAATTGATGGTGAGCTTATTGAGTTTTCTCGTTCTCTAGGTGGGAGATGAGGGTAGGTAAGCTTAGTTATAGGTTACATCTCCTGCACGTAGTGAAACCGTGTTAGATACACTAGTCAGTGGGTGAGCGCCTCTTGTGTATTTCTTTCTGTTTTAGTTAGTGTAGGGTATTTAGGGCGTCGCCGAAGCCGAAGCTTTCGTGTTTTTGTTTCACATTTTTATTTGGTTAGGATAGGTTAGTGGGTTTGGGCGTTTAGTGTAGCCTTGTTTGGTTTTGTTTCTTTGTTTTGATTTAGGCGCCACTCTATCACGTCTCTCCCTTTTTGTTGGTTTGTTTGTATTCCACTTTTTATTTTTGGCACTGTAAATATGCACGCGCGCTGCTGGTGCGTTTCTGGACAGCTACGTGAATAAGTTGCTGCCTTCTGCCATTTGTAGAATAAATTACTGCCTTTTGCCATATGCTGTCGTCCTGGCTGTTTTTTCTGCTCTCCTCTCCATTCATCGAATTCATTTGTTTTAAATGTTGCGGACCAATTCCCTAGATCTCGAAAGGACCGTAACATACCTTGAATATCAAAATCAACTACGGGCGGCAGATCCTTTTCCTATTTAGCGCCCAAACTCTGGAATAACCTACCTAACATTGTTCGGGAGGCAGACACACTCTGTCAATTTAAATCTAGATTAAAGACCCATCTCTTTAACCTGGCTTACACATAAAACACTAACACATTTCTAATATTCAAATCCATTAAAGGATTTTTAGGCTGCATTAATTAGGTCAACCGGAACCGGGAACTTGTCTCCTAGACGACCACCAGAGCAAGACCACAGAACTAGATGAGTCCACTGCACAATCTGACTTTGCTGCAGCCTGGAATTGAACTGCTGGTTTCGTCTGGCCAGGTTGGGGACACTTAATTTCCAGCAATATCGTCGACTTGATTGCA